ATCTTCTTTGGTTCATGCCTGTAGCACATAACAACAGCTCAAGGTAATCAGGCATGTAATTATATTTGTACTTTGTATTTGCTAAGCTTGCGTGGCATAGAAGAATTTACAGCTTTGGAAAAGCAGTGCATATCTACAGATGCTTTTTCATGTTTTCCATGATAAATAGACTTCTCTATCTCCAAGCACATGGAATGGTGCCTTTCTCAGAGGCATGCAGGCATAGGTCCCTGGGCTGCACTGTCTCCAAGGAGCACACACATTACCTAACACAGCAGGAGCTGTTATCTACTGCAGGCACTCCTGACAAGGAGCTAAGGCTTGTAAAGGCAGCAGGAAGATCAAACCTTTTAATTCTAAGAGAGAAATTATATCACACATCCACAAACCTGCAAGTGAGGCTGCCACCAAAAGGATTAGGAATCTTGCTCCTTGGCATCAAAATAATGTAACATTCGATATAAACTTTCTTCATCCTTAGGGAAGCTGGCACAAGATGTCACTGCAATATTTCAGCAGTTAAGGATTTTATGAATCTTAAATTATGAACAATTGGGAAAAAAAAAAAACAACAACTCCTTGAAAAGCCTTAGCCTGTGTCAGAGACTTACTAAAGACTTGTTTCTTGGGATTATTTGGGTAACTCTGTATTACCACACAATTTAAGGATTCTCTGCTGGAGAATTAAGGATCCAATTAAGGTTAAGAAACTTGTTTTGTGTATCCTACAGTTGAAAAGCTTTTAAACCTACAGCCTTTTAAAAAATAAGAGGAAAAAAAAAACTGTTCTGGATGTATGTAAAGGATTAGGAAAATCTTGTACTGGGTTACAAAGGCCTCTTACTACCTATCCAGCTGGAAGCACCAGTGCTTGAATGAGCAGCAATGCCTCCAAGAACACTGGTGGTGTTTAAATACACAGGGTTTGCTTTCACTTCTGGAGAAACTAAAACAATCCCAATTTATTATCAAAAGCTGACAAAGTAGACAAATAGTGGTAGATTCAAATTATCATATGAAATGAGACAGTTTTGAGGCCACATATCCCAAAGACTAAAGCTAAAATCATGATCCATAACTACTTACACTACTGAAAATGCTGATCTTGCATGGGACAATAACATTGCTGTGGACAATATTCCAAAGCAGTTTCATTTAATCCTTTCTGGTTTTTAATTTCTCACACATGTTTTTTAAATTCATAATTTGCCACGTGAAATATCTTGTCTTTTAGTAAATGAAAGCTGAAAAACAGGCCAAACCTTGCCTTAATTCTAAGAACATATTCTCCAGATCAAAATCATATGATTTGAGGGTCATTTTTATTCCTTAACCATTACTCGTGGTCATTGAACCAGTCACAAGTGACAGCAGTTCTCTGTGGCTCACAGTACCTAAAGCGGTGAGAAAGCTGACACAGCACATAAGCTGTGGCTTGGATTGCTTAGAAAAGAGGATCTTTCATGCTTAGCAATCCTCATTTGTGCAGGGAAAGACAGTTTGACTAACCACAAAAAAACAAAACAACTATTGAGCAATGTGTAGTCTTCATTTTAGTGCTCCCCTGTCCCATTTTAACATGGATTTTTTATCAGTTTTTCCATTAAGTTTTTTCTTACCTCACTTATTTAATTATTTTGCTAAAGAATTAATCACACAGTAGATAAAGTGGTTCTGTTATTTCAGTGGAATATATTCCCACAAAGGCCTCTGGAGCCACAGAAAGGACCACAACAAGAAACACAGACAATCCTTAAAGATTTACTTCCTACAAAGCACACCTTGTGACATGTGGCCTCATCCTGCAGAAGCTGTCTATAAAAGCAACTTTTGTCTAGGATAAAATCTGCTCTATGAAAAAAACTCATTGTAAAATAACAGAGAAAGCATGAAGTGGGCCTTTTACTGAGTGTTTTTACCTCCCATTTGTGATGTGTGGTAACTATGACTAAGAAAAAATACACCTTTTTTATTTAAAAAATATTCCTGTACCAAGGATTTCATACCATGTTTGAATTCCAAAGAGGAAAGACATTCAGAGATTAACAACATATACATCTCTCAAATGGCACTTAGCTAAATTAATCACAAAAGTAGCTTTAGAGTGTCTGGGGCCAATACAAAACAGGAAAAGTATTTCCTTCCTCCAGCTCCGCAGAGCTGGCTTTTTTCATGGGACAACATGTATTTCATAGGGCTGGGCGTGGAAGCAACTCTCCTGCCCTCAGCAACATCACGTAGCCATGCTGACCTAAAATCCATTGTGAAAGAGAAAAAAAAAAGGAAAAAAAATGCAGAGCATGAAAATTCACCCCATCCACCAGTGAAGGAGAATAAGGGAATGATGCTTTCCACTGGGCTCTAGTTTCTAGCTAGAAACAATTTAAATGTTCAAGTGTTTCTGTCCCTTACTACGGAAATTAGCCCTCAAATAGAGACACTGAGGAGTGACACGTGGGAGGACTGGACTATGCAATGGGGTTAATGGAATATTTGTCATTCCCCTTGGATTTGACTCCAGCAACTCTCAATCTGAACAAACAAGTCAGTCTGAAGGCAGGCAGAGATGTCTAAGGCAATTGAAGACATAAGAAGAAAGCACACTGTTTAAACTGGACTCCTTAGAGGCTCCACTTTTATTTCTCTTCCCTAAACACCTCTCTTGGCCTGGAAACAAATTAATCTTGCTAAAGAATCAAGAGTGTAAGTAAAAAAAGAAAACATGGAGGTTTAAAGTAAAACTATAAAATAGAAATGTTAGCAGCACTGAGTTAGAAAGAGGTAGATGCTAAAAAGAAATATTTATTTGTTGGTCCTGACTGGGGTTTTAGCTGAGATAGAGGTTCGGGGCTGAGGAGAGAGGATTCCCTGTTCTGAGAGGAGCCTTTGCCCATCTCAGTCATACACAGGAAGACACAGTTATTATCTGCAAGAGCTGACAGCCCTGAGCTGGCTGTTACTGGTGCACCAGTGGCCCGGAAAGCAAAACACTTCTGCTGCCTCAGCTCCTGGCCACAAGGAGTACAAAAGAAAACAATTTTTGCCTTAGTTTTGTTCTTGGACATAATCAGGACCTAATTCCATTTAAAAACCATCAAGTCTAAAGAGCCCTTTGTAAAGGGCTGTGAGGCAAATGTAACCCTGAAAACCAACTGCACTCACCTGTTGTCCTAGGGAGGCATACAGTTCCTGAAAGTACAGACAGAAGGGCTCAAATGGGTAGTTTAGTGCAAATTCATTACAGACCTGAAGCCATTTTAACCTTTCCAGAAAACAGAAACAATGTGTTCATACAAGTTTTGGACTGAGTATGAATTTCAAAAGCAAAATGTTCACAAGCAGCCTTCTGCAAATAATGTGCAGAAACAGCAATTTCACAGACAGAACTAAGAGTCCCACAGTACAGGAGGGCCACTGTCACCACTGTGACAAACTGAACACAGTTACACCAAGGGATCCCAGGCAAGGCTTCAAGATCTTCTATGGTCCAATTGACACAAATAAAATAATATTACAGTTCCCAGTATTTTACTAGTTAACACTGACCTATTCTTTTAAGGAAGAAACAAATTGTCTAACATGTGGATCAAAAAATTTGGGTTATCTAAGTTCAATAGCTATCTCTGTTAATAGAGTCTTACAGTAAAAATATTGAATTTTTTATTTATTTTTTTAGTATGAGTAATCCCATTTCTGCTTTTTAATTAATTTTCCAAGTATTCTAATTGTATCAGAAGGGGGATGGCAAACAACTTGTTCAGACAGCAGTTCACTCCATTAAATAAAAGACAACTCAAAACTCTGACTCATAGAAACAACCCAAGCAGCCAAAAAGGTCCTGAGAGGCAAAAATAAAAAATATAGGGTTAGATCACCCAGACACTTCAACTGAAGCACTTGGAGATACATCAGACCATAATCACACTGCAATTACACAGCAGTTTAGGTGTAGAGATGACTGTTTTTTCAATTCTCTGCAAAAGAAGAAGGAATTGGCAATAATTCTTCTGAAACAGCAAACCATATTTTATTTCTGGCAAGCAGCTGAATTATTAATGTTTGTAAAGTATGTCAAGATCTATCAATAGAAAGTGTACCAGGAATGGAAAATTTCACCACCCATGTGTTACAGACACCTCCCTTAACTTCACTCCTTTGAAATCCAGTTTGAATTAAGAGCTACATAAAACTTTGATGTAAAGCAAATAATTGTTCTGCTTAAAATACAAACTGGTTTTGTGCTTTGAAGATGTGTGGCAGTAAAGAGAGGGAAGTCACAAATGATTTCCATGGGAAACATATGACTCCACTGCACTACTATCATTGCTCAGACATCTACTCCTGGGTCTTCTGATTACACCGTGAAAGGATGTGAAACCTCAGAAGTATTATTTCTTGTATATTTTTACATGTCATGAGCACAATGAATTTGCTTGTTCCCAGGGGCAAATCACAGAGCATGCTTATTGCTAGAATCAGAACGCATTAAACTCAGGTTTTGTTCTATTAAAATAGACTATTTACAGCAAAGGTTTCCTTTTTGAAGGAACTTCCCTTCCAAAATATCAAATTTTTTTGCACTTGTAGAATTTGATGGTACCTATATGCCTACATGAAACCTCATACCTTTATACCTTTATGCACAGTGCACTTATTGTGGTTTTGGTACTGAAGTGCAAAAGCTGATCTAGTATAACCCATTTTCCTTTGAACATGTAGATGTTCACCAGAGAGAACCAGCAGACTCACCTGAGAAACCCACATTCCCTGTTTGCAGAGGCACAGGTATTTTTGGGAGTTATAAAAAACTTGTATTTCTGATGCTGTAGAAACAAATTGAGTGAAAAATAAATTCCATTCACCAAAAGGCAGAGAAAATGCCTAACTTTAGCAGATGATAGGTAAGGAAATTTATTTTTACAGCTCTGTAGGCAGACAGAATATGATTTTACATACCTCACTGGATTTTGTCCTGTTCTAGTTCATTTTACACCACTCACCTCCCAGAGCGTCTGAATATCTTTGCAACATCTTCTTGCTCAGAGTCTCTTGGCAATACACAGCCATTCCACAGTTGCTGCCTGCCATCCCTGCCTTTCTGACAAGCGTATGCATCATGTAAAAATTACTTTTGGCCCAAAATGGTTTTGTTCCTACAAAAAAAAAATTAAATTAAAATTTCATTCGAGAATCCCTTCTTATCCTAGAATCTGAAGTTACTTGAAACTAATATTGTGCATATATTTATGACTCATTAAATATTGACCTTCCCTTTAAGTTGGTCTGGTTTGGTTTTAAGTTTTAAGCCTCTCTAAGGAAAAAAAGTGACTTCTCTGAAAGAGTGCAAGCAAGAGGTAGAGGCTCATTCTAGACTACATGCAAAGTGAAAGAGTGCATTAGTTCTTTTCAAGGGCAAAAATAAAGATCATGTGAGAATGTGCCAACTTTCCATAAATAGCCAATGGACAGCAATTCAAGTTCCTAATTGCATTTCCATTTTTCCAAGGACAGGGGAAAGAGAAGGACTTCAAGGAAATGAAACTCTCCAACTACAAGTATCAGCATAATTACGTTTGCAATATCCGTGCTGAAAAACATGAGCTTTTCTTTCTAAGGACAGAAAGAACATGTTCTAACAAGTGACCCTGAGGTAAAGGGCATCAGATGAATTTTCTGGTTCACGCAGAATTAATGTTTTGGAGTTGTAAGATCCTCCCATAAAAGGCACAGTAGGCTCTCCTGATGCTGGATAGGCACTGGAGCAGGCTGCTCAGTGGCTAATGTATCCTTGCTATTCCCAGCCTTGGAAAAAGCAGATGAATCTGCTCTCCATTCCTTTTCAGTGGCTGCATGGAAGACATTTATTTCATGTCTGAGGTGAAGTTCATTGTGTAAATTAAGCATAGACCAGACACATTGCAGATGGTGTTTTACCTTGCTGACCTCATAACCACATCTTTTCAATGTGCATAGAAATGTTTTACTGTACTCTGCATCTCTCTTTAAGGAAGTATTTCCACTATCTTGTCAGTAAATTAGTATTCAAAGCCTAACAAAATATAGTCAAGACTACTGATTTTCCTTCAAAATTAGCTTAAGTTTTTCCAGTTATAGATACACTAAGACAGGACTAAGCCTGTGTCACATTCTGTTTAGAGGTGAAGTGTGCCAGGAAGGATGGAAGGGAAAGTGGGGATGGTGTGGGCAAGAGCTCTGAGACATTTCTTAACAAATCCCTTTGAAGTTCTACCACTTATGTGGAAGTTCAGTGGAGGAAAAAGCTCAAGCTTGGATATCAAGCTGAAGATGTCCAGCAGGTCTGAATATCAAAGTAACCTTTAAAGGTGGCTGACTCCCAGTTCATAGAGAGCCTTTGTATTAACTCTGTTTGAGGGCAGGACACCTGAAATTTCTACCCTGCTGGTAGTTTTTAGGTAGAAGTTACTAGAATCCAACAAACTTCTGTTGTTTTTCTGCAAAGGGTGATGAACAACAATCTGTTCTCAAAACATAAGAGCTTCCTTTACAGTGTTGGTTATTGCAGAAAATTTTTCTTGTGTCCACTCCTACAACTCAGCCAGTGAACAGGACACAGACTGTTTGGAAAACTTAGATTTTTCACTTGCAGTCTCTCAACTTAAACTGTGAAGTTTTCCTGGCTTTTGTTTAACTCAGGAAACAGAGCAAATAAGGAGCACTGTTACAGGCAAAGGGAGAACTCATTATTTAAGTTGGAGTGCCACAAAGCTTAAATCATTCTAGTGATTGAAAAGAAGCTTCTAGAAAATAAACTTGAACTTGCAAAAAATTTAAAATCCTAGCAAGCAGATTGTAACTATTTTACCTCAAAGCTAAAAATTGCTTCCTACTTGAGGTGATACCTTATTGTGCTCTTCAAGAGCAGTTTTGTGGCTTGATAATCAGAATTCAGGTTTGTGATACTTAATGCAATTCAAAATATGTATTGGTAGTAATAAACCTGTGTGACAGTAGAAAACATACATTTCCTGACCCTGTGAGAAGAACTTGTAGTCTGCAGTCAGAAAAGTGGGCTGTTACTCTGTGATCAGCTATAATTGGCATTCTGATAAAACTTTACCAGTAAGACAAGCAAGGATTTTAGCTCTTCTCATTCCTAAACATAATAGCCCATGAAGGGAATCTGTGTAAAATGCTTGATGCAATAATTTAAAATGAAAGTTTACTGGAAAAAAATGAAGAGTTTAGGCCTCAGATCAATAGACTTACACATTTGCAGTGTTCAACCTTTAAGTTCATATCCTTCTCTTTCTAATAATAAACATTTTCAGAAAACAAAAATGAAGTTGAGTGGTAAAGGCAGTATTTTTCTTATCTTTGAAATCTAGAAGATCCCATACAGATTTTTCTCCATTTCCATTAAACACTGTTTAACATGTTTACATCACATCCAAGTGAAGTTATTTCAGTGCTTACACCAAAGGGTGTTTGATTTTCTGGGCATCCAGAACCATTGGCATGTACAGTTTGAGTAACAGGATGTTTCACACAGAAGAAAAAAGCTAAAGCAGGTTAAAGCAAGGCACATCTCCATCCAGAATCACAGTGTGTTCATTAGGGACTTTCTTACAAGGAGATAAAAAGGCTGTCACCCCCTAGGAATTTCATCAGCACCTTTGCTAAAAGAATCTGAAACAACTGCAAGATACTGTAAAATAATTCCCAGTGTTTCTGTCTAATAGAAGGACCTGTTTGAAGTGTTTGAAGCTTCCAGCCAAATTTCAATGCTTAAAGAATTTCTCAAGGAGCAAACAGCAGTTTTGAGAGCACAGTTGTGGATTTTTTTTCCCCATTAAAAAGAGATAAAGGTACAATGTCAAATGTCCTCCATCAGCTTCTCAGAGCCTAAAGCAGGGAGATGCTCAGCACAGCTGTGGCAGGGCTCCAGCAGTGGTAGGAGGAAGCTTTGCCCTGCCTGCCAAGAATGTCAGCGATGGAGAGCAGCAAGCTGAACTTTGCCTTACATAGTGGCTGACAAGGCCAGATGTCTGTACAGCTTTCATATTTTCATTTGCCTTTACTTGCTTACAGAACTGTTAACTCTGTGGGAATCCAGGGGAAAAAAAGCTTTCATTGTAAGAAACTAATTCATACTGTGCTAAGCCTGTAGTCAGAGGTCAGCTTTCACTCTGACACCCAGCTACTACAGAATTCTTTTAACATACCTTCGCAAAAAGACTTCCCACACACACCACATATTGCCCGATAGGGTGGATTTATTAATCTCTTGACTTAAAGAGACCTGATTTGTAAGAAACACACAGAGAAAACCCCACATGACATGTCCCACATTTGTATTTCACTGCTGAAGTTTTTAATCTTGCTCAAGAACAGCTGAGGGAACATGGGAGCCCCCAAACCTTTAACAGCCATTTTCATGTTACCTTTACCAAAGGACAACTTACGTATTTTTGGAAGAGTTTTATTTTGTTAAAAATTTCTTGGTTTGTTGCTATTCTGGTGCCTTGATGTGACATAACACTCATTCTTTCAATTTCATTTTTATATATCTTTTACTCTTCTAAAATACAAATGAGTAGGCTGGGCTATTGCAGTAAGGAAGTTTTGGTGTGACTTTGGTTTAAATCACAGAACAGCTTCAAACAGTTTTCCTCTTCACTGTAGTAAAGAAAAACAAGCAAATATGTTGTTTGGGGTCTGACATTTCATAGCATCTTAATGTTCTACTTTGCAGAGTTACTCTTTTTTAGAGGTAACTTTGCATAAGGCTCAGTATTTTGTCTTTCCTAAAATATATTTTGGAGTGTGTGTTCTGTTGTTGTTAATTTTTTGCTGGTTTTGCCAAGAACATCCAAGTGCTCGAGGCTGACTGAGACTCATGTATTTGGGATGTTTTTCACCTAGCCAAAAGTCTCTTTTGCCCCAGCTCAGTCACTGAATCAGTATCTAGTTCCACTGACTAATGGACATTTCACATTAGTTCTAGATCATGGACTGAAGCTGCAAAGGCATTTTGGTGCCTGACTCCCACATGAAGAAGAGGAATCACTCCCTCCACTGAGAACTGTGCTGATTATTTTTCACTTTTTTCATTGAGCACTGCACTATCAGGTCGGATTCTTTCCACCTCTCATTCCCAGCCCCTCCCTGCAGAGGAAATACCATGAAATGTTTTTCCAGAGGAACATGTTTGATATTACAGATACTGGAAGTTGTCCACACAGGCTCTTTTCTTCTCCATGCAAGGAACAGGGTGAACATGCCAAGGGGTGTCAGATGTGCTTTTCCCTGTTTCCTGCCTGAAAACTGTGAAGGAACTACAAAAACTGAGTGATGGAACAAGCAGGCTACTGTAGCAAGGAGGCCAAAGGGTTTTCCCACAGTGCAACACCAAATCAGGATTCTTCCCAAGGAAAAGTCCATGCTATGAGCCAGTAACCACTGAGATGGCAGGACAGGGGGGAGGAAATCTGTGCAGTATTAAGCAAGGATAAAGAAAGGAGATTTAAACTGCTCAAGATTCTATCATGTGAGTTTTGTTTCCTTTTTAGATCTGATCAGGATAGTTATAGCACAGGCAGCAAGAACACTGCTTGCTGCTCATGAAGCTGTATTTCTCCTATACAGAGTGAACATAGTGGTGCACCCCCAACTGAAGATTAAACAGGAGCTTCTCACACACTCCCTGCATTTTAAGGTAGTTAAATCCTACCTCCCTCATTATACTTATGTCCACACTTACACTGTCAGTTAAAATTTCCAGCCTTACAGCTGACCTCTGACCATTGTATCTTTTTTTAACAATGCCAAATGAGTGACTGAAACCAGAAGCCCAATCCTAAAAAGACAGACAAGCTGGTATTAGCAACCTTGAGAAGATTGCTAACCCTCATACCTGCTTGCAAAGTTAGTAAAATTAATATGGTTCAGAGTTGCCCTGCCATGGTTATATTTCATGGGTTTCAGCTATCTTTAATTCAAATTAACTGTCTCACAAGAATTAAAGTTTGTTAAAGAGCCCCACAGAGAATTCTATTCAGTAGGAACACCTTTAGAGAGCACTGTATCCATTTGAGTTGTCTCACTACATTGTATAACCCAATGTTTTCCCATACTTACTAATGAGTGATGCATTAATGGAATTACTACTTAACCCCAGATAAAGGAAGAAAGGAAAACCATTACTAAGAAACATGTGATACCATGAGTCTTAAAATACTCTTGAGATAAGTCTGCACTACTTGCTAGCTAAGAAACTGCTGAATCATGCCCTTAGACTCATACCTAAAATAGCACTGCATTTGGCAAAGCACATACAAGTTATTCATGCTCCCTATTGTTCCAACCTGCTGATTAGCTGCCGGTCACAAAGGATGATAAAGCATTCTCCTACCTTTTCTGTCTCCTTGAGAGAAAGAGAATAGCAAATACATTTTCTCCTACAGTAGTTCTCCCTTTCACACCACCAACTTTTAACAGAAACTTCCCAAAACCTTTTCAAAGCATTCTATGAGCTCTCTGCATTGAACACACCTCAGAACAGGTGTTCCTTCTTACCTAGAATTGATAGGTACAGATGTCACTCATCTCCCACCTGTACTCCTCCCTGGTGAGACTGATTTTCTCAGTACGTGATCTGTAAGTTATTTCTTAGGACTAAGGGGAGAAAAGAACAATTCTTTGTCATTTAAAGACTGCATTAATATGAGGAAAGTGATTCTCTCTGAGATCTAGGGAAAAGTGACTACTTAATGCCCTTAAGGAGGAGGGAAAGGTTTTTAAAAGTAGAGTTGAAAAGCTCCAGCTGGAATTAATTATGTTCTCTAAGAGGCTTTGTAATTACTGTGTTTCCTGGCCCTCAGCATCACCTAGGTGAAAGGACAGACCAGAGCTGCCTTCTGAGTTTCTCTGTGTGCCTCATCACCTTCCCCCTTATTCCTTGTGGCCTGGTGTGCCAGAGCCCTAGACTGAAGTCCTGGGTTTATCACAGCAAGGGTGCCATGCAGGCTGCTGGGCTGGACTTGGACACGTCTGTCTGGGGTGGCTGGACACCCTCTGCCAGCAGCACAAGTGACACCCTCTTCCAGCCCCTGTGCCAGGGTGCAGGGCCTCTCACTTCGGCCCGTGGTACCACAGCTGCTGCCAGCCTCACCCTGGGAGAGTTAAGGATAGGAACAGAGATAAGGGAAGGAATAAGTCAGGCAGAGCAGCCTCTCATCAGAAGTGCCAGGGGACAGACAATGCAAAACTGTGGAGAG